GGGGGGGGGGGCGTCAAACTCAAATCCACTGCAAGTCAAAGAAATTAAATGATCTTACCTTTAGAGACACCTCGAAAGACTGGCTAAACATGTGAAATTAAAAAAAAATTAACTGGCTCTCAGTTATTGCTAGGAAATGACACCAAGGCTAGCAGAGACATTTGAAATTCACAGATATTCCAAAAAACCCATTTTCATTAGACTGTTTGAACCTAATAGAGTAAACCAGATAAAGGGAAGAAAACCTGAGGTTTTTCCCCTAATCCCACTGACCAGAACAAGTGTCAGGGAGTGGCGACGGCAGAAAAGGGTGGAGGCAGAAGTGGGAGGGAGCACCAAGGCGCTCAGTCAGACTGCAGCCTGAGTCCCACGAGCGGCTGCTCTGGAGACTGAGCTCCTAGAACAGCCACGGCACTACGCTAATTCTCAGGGAGCTCCTAGAACAGCCACGGCACTAGGCTAATTCTCAGGGAGCTCCTAGAACAGCCACGGCACTATGCTAATTCTCAGGGAGCTCCTAGGAACAGCCACGGCACTAGGCTAATTCTCAGTGACAGTGAAAACACGACACCAGCAGAACGACAGGACAGCGGAGCAGATACCAGAAACCACACATCAAGCATTCTCCTCCTGAGATCTCAATGTGGGACTCGGGTCCTAGCAACCAAAACCTTGCAGCACTCCTAAAATGGATGTAAAGACAACAAATTCAATTTTTAAAAAATACCATGAATTGCGATTAATTTATGGACTGCTTATCCAAGATTCTTTTTTAAATCGCTTGATCTTTTTAAATGCTTGATCTTTTTAAATTCTTGATATCTTTTTTTTTAAAAGTTTATTTCCTCGTATCTATTCTTTCCTGCAAAATCAACAAAGTGCTTAGTTCTGGTAAAGGAATTTAAAAAAAAATTGTTTTAAATGCCTACATCTAAACAAATGATCTCTTCAAAAAGCATTCAGATTAAGAGACTGGGAAGAGCGAGGCATCTAAGGCTGGGGAGCAAGAGCTGAGGGCGGCTGCCCCCCAGGCCACAAAATTCAGGAGGTGTCTCTTCTGTCTGTAACCTCACCACACTGAGCTTACTGAGATCAACAATGTTAAATACTTAGCTCCACAAACTCTGTAAAAACGAGTTGTTGTGCCCTACAAAAAAGGTATATACATATTTTACATAATACAATATCTTAAGGGTCATATTTACAGAAGAAAATCCATTCACAGAAACTGTGAAATTCTGGTTCAGAACGCAGCACCTGGCCTTGGGTTGTCTGCAGTTCATTCTCAAAAGCATTATTGCTCTCCATGTCGGCAAAGGGCGACACCCGCACTCTGAACAACAACCAGGAATGAGGTTCACCACGCCTCAAGACCTCAAGAATATTGCATTTATCCATTACTTTCTAAATAAAGTGCACTCAGCTGCACATTAGCATGTGAAAAATTGCTACTGCTGCAGTTAAATACTGTCATCTCGTTTTCCCTTCTGCAAAGCCATTTGACATCAAGCACAATTCCTGGAGGTGAAGTATTACAGGACATCAAGAGCAGATGAAAATTCTAGTTAGGAAAAAAGCCTAGGACAACCAAGGGTAGGGCGGAAGCGACTCAACACTATCACTAAAGGATGAGAACCCGGAAAGGCCAACGCCACGGGACAGAGGATCAACACACAGAACTGGTAACCCAGTAGTGACGAAAACACGTGAAGGCTGGGACTATGCTCTTCGTCCAAAACTGCAATAAGAGAAACCAGGCATTCTAACTGCTCTTGATTTCCCCAGCATTCTCTGGCCCACCTACATTTATTTGCAAGACTTTGGATAGCCAGGAAGAAAGAAGTGACATAGGAGTCTTGTGATCAGTAACACTCCATACCTCCAGAAGCACATCCCTAAGAGGCAGAATGCCAAAAATATTTCTCTGTTTTGAACACCATGATACAAAGAAGGAAAAAAACAGGTAGATATCGCGCTTCAGCTTAAAATCCAGTCCTGCTCAAATGACGTCACTTGGAATACCCTTGACGGAGATCAAAGCTGGTTCTTTCTTCAAAGCTGGGTGCCTAGATCAATGATCTTTACCCCAGATAATCCTAGTGCAGTGTCATTTGTACAGTGATTTCCTTAGAGGTCTTGGTGTAGAGATGTCAGCAGTATTTCTGTTAGCAACCAGAAGAAACATGAGTAAAACATACGCTTTGCACAACAAAAAGAATCCTATGTCTATACTGATGGCTTGCAACATGGCTCTGACTGATTGATTCAGATTCCTTAGATCCCATATTACCAAAAGTATCTAATGGCCCAATGCCTTCAAACCAAAAGTTTTTTCAATGACTATATATTTAAGTTACACATTCAAGTTAAAAATTTACCTAACACCTTTAGATTACAGTTGGGGGACAACTTTTTGAGAAAGGTCAAGAATAGATCCTGTACCTGATCAGGGCCCATGGGCACGCCCGACAGAGGCAGGGAGTTCATGGTCATCTGTCCCATGGGACCGCTGCTGCCATTCATGTGCACCATGCCATACGCCGCAGGAGTCCCCTGCTGGGCAAACTGCTGCTGGGAAAAGGAGCTGTAAAGAAAGTGTGAAATCACCTCCTGGGTCGTTTTAGTAACCCAGGATATGCACACAGAGACTATCACAATTTAGTCAAATGTCGCTGTACTTAAGCAGAGAACATGAGAGAGAAAACTCCCTGATAGCCTGCCTTCTACTTTTCACAGCTGTCTGTACTCAACACCTCATGGATGTGTGCACTGGAGGAAGGATTCTCAAAATGGATGAGCCAAATAACATTTTCTAATATGAACCCAGATTTTTTTGATCTCTCCATCCAAACAGGCTTGACTAAAAAATGCAGAGATTAATTTCCTGAACTTCTGGCACTAGAATGTGAATGACTTTGGAAGTCCCTGTTCTTTACCTGTTCCTGGCCAGGTTTCCTGATGGCCAGCCCTTCATTTCTGAGGACTGATACATGGGTGCAGTCTGAGGGTGCTGCATCATGGGATTCTGGGAGGGACCCATTCTTGATGACATCATTGCGCTGGGCGGACTAGACACTCGACCAAAGGCTGGATCTGACTGTTGTCCCATCCCTTTAAAAAAGAAAGAAGAAAAAGAAAAAAATCACAATGCTCAAATGCTGCCTCCTTAGAATATCAGCTTTCTATGTTCTTTTTTTTAAATTTTATTTATTTATTTTTTTCCCCCAAAGCCCTGGCAGATAGTTGTATGTCATAGCTGCACATCTTTCTAGTTGCTGTATGTGGGACGCAGCCTCAGCATGGCCAGAGAAGCGGTGCGTCGGTGCGCGCCCGGGATCCGAACCCGGGCCGCCAGCAGCAGAGCGCGCGCACTTAACCGCTAAGCCACAGGGCCGGCCCTCTATGTTCTTTTCTAAATGGCAGGGGAAGGTGATAGTGTGAGATATCAAGTGCTACACGATGCTGCCTGCCAGTTATTCGTGCCTCTCACCAAGATGACAACTAGAGGAACGAGCTTACTACAGAAGCACGCTGTCTAGGTCACTTGAAGGGTTGTCGTATCAATGAGCTTTCTGTACAAAAAGGACTCCAGATCACACTACTCACATCACTCTGTCCCTCTTTCGAGGGCAGAAGAGCTACTGCCCCTGGCTGGCAGGGATGCATCCTAAAATGTAATCTCTCCAGTAGATACCTCCACCCCCAATCCCACCATGTTCCTGGAACCTCTCAAAGGCTGGCCTGAAGAGGGATATGCATTATCATGATTAATAATCTGTCCAAGACACCAAGAAAAAGAACTCAAAAGCCCACATAGTGCATTCCTCTCACTGACTTGATCAAGCATTCAGGGCTTATAGAGTTCCCTCTACTGGGACATACGCAGCAGAGGGGGAAACCTGGGAGTTTCTTCCAAATTAAGATGTGGGGAGCTGAAAAAACAAGACCTGAAAAAAAATACTCAACTATGATAGAACAACTACCTCAATTACAATTACCTGTGCACTGCAGGAGACATTTTAGTTTAGTTATTTTTAATTAATTTCATTTTTCTTGTGAAATAACAAGAGGGAGTAAATAGTATTTTTGTTTTCAATATGCAACAGATCTAGTGAATCTTATGTCCTAGTAATGTTCTTTGGGGAAAACATTCTCACTGTCAGGTTTACCATAATTTGGTGGATAGGGGAACTGCTGGGGTGGCGCTTGTGGCATCATAGGCCCTGTCAAAACCCCATCCATGCTGGGGGAAGCAGTCACGTTAGGGGGCGGGCTGAAGGCCTGGGCTTGCTGCTGCTGCTGCTGCTGCTGCTGCTGCTGCTGCTGCTGCTGCTGCTGCATCATCATCGCCACCCTCTGCTGTCGGAAGTGATGACTCAGCAGCTCCCTGCTGCGCTGGGTGACCATCTGGGCATTAAGAAAACCCTGCTAATACCCAAGAAAGAATGCAATTATACACATACAGCAAGAACCAGCCAATTTCATACATACAGCACCCCGACAATACATTAGGTATCAGAGAGAAAAATCACCCAATGCCTTTCTTTTTTCTGTGTGAGGAAGATCAGCCCTGAGCTAACATCTGATGCCAATCCTTCTCATTTTGCTGAGGAAGACTGGTCCTGGGCTAACATCTGTGCCCATCTTCCTCTACTTTATATGGGATGCCGCCACAGCATGGCTTGACAAGCAGTGCGTCGGTGCACGCTGCGGATCCGAACCTGTGAACCCGGGGCCACCACAGCGGAGTGCACAGACTTAACCGCTGTGCCACCGGGCCAGCCCCCCTAATGCCTTTCTTTATCATTACAAAAAAGGAAAAATGAACAATTCTCATTCTGGTAATGGCTTTCTGGCTTATGGGGGGGGGGGGGGGGTGGCGCACGGGCTGCAGAACAGGGACCTGAAAATTATTTGGGGCTAGGAGACAAAAGCAGACAAGTTGTCAAGCTTTAACATAGTCAGAAACATTCCTCAAAGTGAGAGACCATTTAGGGGTAGAATTAGAGGACAAACTTTTCAGAAACTATGAAATAAAACTACAAGAAGAAAAAGAGCAGGAATGGGGTAGGGGGGCAGGCAGCGGGGTTTGAAACAAGAAGGAAACCAAAGAAAAAGATGGAGTCATACTCAGAAAAGCAGAAAGCCACCTCACAAGGTCTTATAGTCTCTTAAAACCTTCTGAAAGAAGGGGTGGAGGGTGAGGAGAAGCTTTCTGGGGGTTAAGGAGGGGACATGATCAGAGCACTGGATACAGAAGCTGACTGGGCTCTACCAGCTGGGAGAGGTCATCTCCAAAAAGCAAACTTCTATTATCTTTTTGGAGGGCATCCTAGTTTGGCTTACACAGGATGTCTGATTATCAAGAAAATGCAGATATCAGTACCTCCAAGTAGGGCTAAGACAGTGAAAACTGGGCATTTCAGTGTTTGTTCTTTTAACAATAATTATGAACGATATTTCCAACCACAGTAAAGGGTTTTCGTGTAGTCATCATCTGCCTCGTGCACATTAAGAAAATACCTTAATACAGTCTTCACCTGGGGCTGGAGGTAGAGAAAACTTTAATGTCATCCCTCCCACCTTGGGAAACAGGTCATCTCAGAAGTTATCACTGAGAGTAGGATTATGTATTATTTATTTTCTTCTTTATACTTCTAATAATTTCAAATTTTACCTAGTGAGCATGTGATTTCATAATCCAGGAACAGAGAAATGTTTACAGATTTATTATTTTAAATTCCTAAAAAGTAAGTGATAGCTGTTTTCACAACACAGCAATTGATCACAAAGGGAATTAATTTAAAAAACACAAATCAGTGGTTTTAATAAAAGGACCTCTCCTCCTCTGATTCTTCCTAGTCACCAGCAGAAGAGAAGAATGGAAAAGGAACTGTGATGGGACCAGGGGATGGTTTCTTACACAAGAAATGTGGAATTACTTTATTTGTTTAACAAACATTTACTGAGAGCCAACCATAGGCCAGGCCCTGTGCTGAGCACACGGCAGGGAACATGGAGACTTGCTCTTCTCACCTGGGAGTTTACCTGGGGCTGCATCATGGGCCTCATCACCGCCGCACCACCAGCAGTGGGGTTTTCCATTTTCATTTCAAGTGCCTGACGGCTCTGATTCAAAAACTGAGGAGAGACAAGTTGGTTAGGATGCAAGGGGAGCGTGTTAATGTGCCCCAAATAGCCCTCCAAATCCTCAGCACCACCCAGCAAGGAAGGTCAAGATGGCATCTCCAAACCCATTAACCTGGTTAAATCACAGCTAAGCTGAACGGATACACTTTCACACTTCAAGAAAGTTCATGCTGCAAAGTCCTTGGCTAGCATATGATGCTTTATTGTCTGGCATCAGGAGGAAAAGTAAAAGTGCAATTTTACAGCTTAAAGAATATCTTCAAAGGACTGGAGGAAATCAAAGGATTTATAAAGTCAGATTTTCTCTGGGATTATTTTGGCCATTAGGGAAATAGCTGTAACTTGATCAGAGTAACACTGAATAAGCCACCTATTCTGTTGCCTTTTCCTATGCAACTTTTAGTGGAAAGAAATGGTAGAAAGTAAAATGATACCATGAACACATTAACACAGCTTTCCAGAAGAGTTTCTGGCTTGCTGGATTCTAAACTCGCTCACTCTTCTGCTTACATGGTTCAGTTCTGCCACATTTAATAACTCAGCACAGCTAAGACACAATATAAATAATTATATTTTAAAAGATTTGTTGGGGATTATGAAAACAATGAAAAAAATAGAAGTCTTACCTTAGAATATTAAGAGAGTTCAAGTTTTATAAAACATCTAGAAAGCAGAGGTTCCATAAAAAGAATGCTCAAATCAATAAGGTTTCAATACTTGGTTATTAATATTAAGGACTTTGTAAAAAATAGAAGTTATCTACCTCTAAGACTACGAAGTCATCAAGAAAGATTTTTCTCTTCTGCCCCAAGAGCAATCCTCTCTGACTTCTATTTTTTAACCTGTACAATAGAATATCCTTATAGAAAGGTATCCAGCTCTAGCAGGACCACTCCCTAATAAAGAACCACCTGTACAAATAAAATGTTAGACCAAAGTGAAAACAAAAGGAATCTGTTTAGTTGACGAGGAATACAGAACCAGTGGCAAGAGCTCTGAAGAACACAGTCTGACAATAAATTAGAGAAGAGCAGGCCAAGGGAAAGCCACTTTGGGCCAAGGCAGAGCATGAGGCTGGTTACCTGCTGGCCCTGTAGCCTCTGCTGAAGCTGCATTCTGAGTTGCTTGGGGGTGTTTGTCCGGGGTCTCATGAGGTTGGCCCTTGGGTGCATTCCTTGGAGAGGAAAACTGCCTTGCTGGTTCATCTGATTCATCATAGAGTTAAAAGATGGTGATTGTCCCTGAAGATTAAAGCCCCCTTGCATTGGAGGCCCCTGTGCCGGATATGTCTGCCCATATAACGCTGCCTTCTGATCCATCATTACTGCCGCCTCTTGACCTTGAAAAGCATCCTGTTTGGGCTCCAAAGCTTGTCCCTTAAACATCAAACACATAAATGAACAGTGAAGTCGAAGTCATCTGAGAAAGCAACAGAAATCAAATGCTCTAAAGGTGAAAAATAAAAGTCAATATATGTGAACAATGACGCTGCAGAATTTCAAAAGCAAAATCAAGTTCATTGTCTGAAGTTCCATGAGAACACAGACCACGCCCCATCTTTTCACAGCTGTGTCCTCGTACCTAGCACAAGGTCTCACACAGATAGACACTCATATTTTCTGAGCCAAATATCTACAAAGCATTGAGTACCAGAAGAAACACTATTTGTTTCAGACCAGATTTCTGTACCAACATGGACCTCCCATGCCAAGTATAAAATAAATCAATTAAAATCATTGTGATCAATGAATTCTCATGTTATCTGTACAATTTTTTTTTTTTTTTTGGTGAGGAACATTAGCCCTGAGCTAACATCCAATGCCAATCGTCCTCTTTTTGCTAAGGAAGATGGACCCTGGGCTAACATCTGTGCCCATCTTCCTCTACTTTATATGGGATGCCACCACAGTATGGCTTGACAAGCGGTGCATCGGTGCACGCCCGGGATCCGAACCTGCGAACCCCGGGCCGCCGAAGCGGAGCATGTGCACTTAACCCCTGTGCCACCGGGCCAGCCCCTAAAGAATGTTTTTGAAGGAGCCAAGAGGTGATTTTGGTAGAGACAGGTAAATCAAGAAAAGTGATACTCCCTGACATGTATATGCCAGTTGAACAAAACCTAAAGGTGGTCATCCACTACTATTTGTACATGGTGAGGGGGACCACATTCATTCAACAAGTATTTAAGTGCCTGTCACGTGCCAGTCATCACTTCTCCACATGCTAAGAATGTATACAAAATAATGTCCAAGGGGTGACGGAAAAAGTAGTAAAAATAAATATTCTGAAGGAGGGAAGAGCCTGTCATGCTAAGACGAGAGGGTGTGGGTCAGGTACTGCACCCACCTTTATCTTCTTATCCATGGCACAGAACGCCAAGTGTGCAGTCAACAGCCGGGTCAACTCTCGCCTTAAAGCATACTTCACCCCACTGTGACTGTGACACCACTCTCAATGTTCTCCCACCTCAATGACTTCTCCTTGGAAGAAGGTTAAGAGTTCACCAGGATTCAGTCCTAGGCCACACCTTCTTTTCTCGCACTACATTTCTACTTTGATGTTCTCACCCACTAGTGACAACTGCCAAATTTTTGTCTCTAGCTCAAATGTCTCTGAACTCTAATTCTGCTTATGCAAATGTCTACTTAACATCTTTACCTGGATGTCTCAGGTATCTCAAACTTAACATGTAGAAAACAGAAGTCATGATCCCCAAAAGCCCCTCCCTGAGAAAAACCTGATTCTCCTCCAGTCTTCCCTATATGGCAATACATGGCAACACCATTCACCCAGAACTAAAAGCTAGCAATCTAGATTCTTCACATTCTCCCTTTCCAAGTGTGCGCATGCATGCACGTGCACACACGGTCCACCAAGTCCGATCCGTTTTTCTTCCATGACACATTGTGTATCCCTCCTTTCTTTCCATTCCATGGCCACGACCCTCCCAAGACACTTCTTGGACTCTTGCAGTAACTGGCAACTGTGCCTCTACTTTGCCCATCATACCAATGCCCTTCTCCAGACAGCAATGAGACACCTTTAGAAAGTAAATCACACCTTAAGTTTAAACACGACAGACTGATTGCACATGTTCACCTCCTTTCTCTTGCTAACCCTACTAAACTAACAGCAAAGACTTAAAATTAGTATTTAACCACAAAACAATGAGAATAAGGAAGGCAACCAGATCCAATATTTCGAAAGGTATCTGGAAGACAGAAAGTGAAGAGAGGAGTAACCAACTCTACAGAGCAGAGAAACTGAGACCTATCTGCCTGCAGAGGGAAACACACAAGAATCAAGCAATGAGAGACTCCACTGGCGACGGCAGAGGGTCAGGCAGAGTGCTCACACAGGGGTTGGTTAGGAGTCTGAGTACAGAGCAGGGGAGCAACTACCTCCCTGCCCTCAGCCTGCTCCCCAATTCCATAGACTCAAGTGGCTGTACTCCCCCGAAGGAGTACCTACTCCCCCAAGGGCCTTGGTTAGGGACACCAAGTGCAGCAGAGGGCATGAACAGGGCAGAGGCTGAAAACAGGAAATCTTGTCTATATTTATAATTTCTAATAAAATTTTATATAATTTTATATCTTAACACTATGTGATCATCAACTTGCCTCCCCACCCAAGCTCCAAAAATGCAACCAGGTAATAAAAAATTGCCAGGCAAAAAGCGGGGGACTCCTCTCCAGAAAAGCTGTACTGAGGGGGGTGAGGGGACACGACTCCACATGCTGCAATTGGGGAAGTCCTGAAATAAAAAGGCCAGCCCCAGTCTCCCCACCCCCACCCTGCCCATCACTTCCAGTGAAGAAAACTGATCTTGCTTTTTAATACATTGTTCTTAAATATATATAGTCAAGGATCACCAGATATTTGGTGATGAAAGCTTCCAACACGAAAGTGACTCAAACAGATAAAAAGTAACTTAAAGAAAAATAGAGAAGATAAGAAAACACAGAATCACTATAACACTCACATCAACAGACATCCCAGAAAGAAAGATCAGAAAAACAGATAAAATTATTAAAGAAATGGTACAAGAAAATGCCCCCAAACCAAAGGGGATATCAGTGCATCTAATATTCAGCAGAATGAATGAAACAACACCCATGCCAAGACGGGGCACCACGAAATTTCAGAGAGAAGTTCCCGAACAATTCCAACGAGAATAAATGGGTCACACACAAAAGAACAGGAACCAGACTGGAATCTGAGTCAGCGGCAACACTGGATGCCAGAAAACTATGGAACAATTCTCTCAAAATTCTAAGAGGAAATTATTTTCAACCTAGAACTTAATACACAGCCAAACACGGGGGAAGGATGGAATGAAGATATTTTCAGACACATAATGACCAAAACATTATACCTCATGCAGTAGGGCCGGAGAAGTTAACAGCAATTGTGTTTCAGCAAAACAAAGATGTAAATCAAGAAAGAAAACAGCCTGGGGTTCAGGACACTGAGGATCCAACATAGGAGAAGAGGGACAATGACTGACTTCTAGACCTGCCTCACAGGACAGAGTAAAACAGAGGGGCAGAGAACTCAAGAGGGAGGGAACGAACTGATGGATTATCCAGTGTGTCTAAACACATGGAGAAAAAAACTAAGAGAAATTTTATAGTTCTGTTGAAGTATCTGGGGAGAACTAGCAGTTAAGTGTAGAAAACAAAGCAAATAGAAAGAGAAGGCAATTAACTCCAAACAAACAAACCAAAAACAAAAACCTATACAAACTATACCTGGCCCAGCAATGAGCCAAAATAATGTAAGTACTTACTGACCACCTATTTAACAACAAAAGACATAATTACACTGGGCGTACAGAGAAAGCACGTGCCCGTGTGTATGCAGTGGGTATGGGTATGATTGTGCACATTGGAGGAAGAGAGGGTAAATACAGATCAACAATTTCTTATCCAAAATTCCAAAAAAGCTCTAAAAAAACTAACAATTTTTCATTAACACCAAATGTATGTAACAGCAAAACCTGACCTAATCTTACATGAAGCAATGCAAAATCTCTACGTATCCCACTTAGCGTGACTATTTACGTATTTTGCTGTAGACGTATTAGCATGTTTGATCACAGGCTACTGCTCAGAACTGCACCAGGGGTATTGTGGAATATATGGTAAATATGCATCATTTTACCTTTCTAAAATCCAAAAATTCCCAAATTCCAAAGCATATCTGATCCCAAGGTGCTTAGACAAGGGACTATGAATACACAGTCAACTATCATATCAGGAAATTAATAGATACAGACTGAAGTTGATAAAGAAATAGCTTCATAAGCATATTACTTAGAAATATTACCAAAACAAAGAGCTGAGTTTCACTATCTCTGAGTGGGGCAAGTGTCTACGCTTCTTCAATAAGTATATTTTCATATCATTTTATTTTTAAGTTATAAACAGGTTACTATGCTAAAAATAAAAATTAATTATAACAAAAAAGGAAAGCAGGTCTCATCACTATCCTGCTTAAAATCTTTCATGGCTTCCCAATGGAGTAGAAAAATTCCAGACTCCTTAAGATGGCTTTGTGGAACCAAAACTCTATTTACCTCTCCAATCCCTCTCTGCTCTTGCTGCCTTTCAGTCACTTACGAGAACCCCCAAACTCTTTCCCACCTAAGGACCACTGAGTTAGCTGTACCTCTTCTGGAACGTTCTTCCCCTAGCTTTTCCCATAGCTGGCTCTTTCTCATCTTTCAAGTGTCGGCTTATATGTCAACTCCCCAGAAAACATTTTCCTGACCATTCAAGTCCAGTCCCCAGTTATTCTTTATCTCATCATCTTGAATGTAAAAACACAAACATTTTTTTTTATATAATTTCATTTATTTATTTTTTTCCCCACAAAGCCCCAGTAGATAGTTGTATGTCATAGCTGCACATCCTTCTAGTTGCTGTATGTGGGACGCGGCCTCAGCATGGCCAGAGAAGCAGTGCGTCGGTGCGCGCCCGGGATCCGAACCCGGGCCGCCAGCAGCAGAGTGCGTGCACTCAACCGCTAAGCCACAGGGCCGGCCCAGAAAACACAAACATTTTTAAACTAAAGAACAAAACTACAAACAAGCCCCAACTAAAAAGAAACTGGGAAAACTATTTTGTAACATATTAGACTAGTTAATAGTCATTCTTCAAATCGCAGCTCAGACACGAGTTTTGTAGAGAAAATATTTGATCCCCCACCCTAAGAAAAGGTCCCTGTATGGTACAGTCTCATAGCATCACATGCCCTTCCTCATAACCTCTGTTACACCACGCCTACTTCTATCTGTGTGGTCCCTTGCCTGATGTTTGCCTTGCCCAGTGGGATGTGAGCTCTGGGAGCAGGAACTAATGTGTTCACTATTGCTACTCAGCTTCTAATAAAAGACTGATTCTGATACAGAAGACAAATTATTTGTTAAATGAAGGAATCAACACATAAATCAGTAACTAAACATAAAGGACTGCTGCAATCAACAAAATAAAAACCCCATCAGAAATCTATTAAAAAACACATCTAAATGGCCAAAAAACACAAAATATGTTCAGTCTTACAATCAACAAAATACAATTTAAAACAAGTATCTTTGCTGCCCATCAGACTGGAAAAGATTTAAAGGAATGATCACACTGAGTATTTGCTTTGTCACTTGCTCATCCACACTGTGTGTGTTCTTTTGTCTACATGGGCCACAGCAGCTCAGAGCTTGTGAGGGTGAGGAACTCAAATCGTCGCCCTCCACTGTGGAAAAGCAGCTCTATGATTTTTCAGGAAAACAACCTGAAAATATGTAGCAAAATCTCTAAAATATGTATCCCCTCTAGCCCAATCATCCTTTCTCTTGGACTGCATCTAAGAAAACAGACTAAGTGAACAAGATGTGAGTAATTCATAGAATTCTTTACAATAAAGAATACTTAGGAACAATTTAAATTTTCATCAGTAGAGAATTGGTTAAATAAATTGTGTTCAATATGATACTATTTGACCATTAAAATTAAAGCTGTATATATTAAACAGAAAAAGATGGCGATGATGATTTTTGTAAAGTAAAACAGGTTACAAAAGTGTTTCAGTCCACTCTTTTTTTTTTTAAGATATACTCAAAAGTTACTGATAATTTTTTGTGCCAGAATTATAGAAGATTTTTAACATTTTTTTAATACACACTTTTATGTATTAAAAGTATGTAGGCAGTTCAAGCTTCTTGGTCTCTGTGTGACCCACACATCACTCTTCAGTGATGTGTGGGTCACACAGAGCCAGGTTACACACCACTCTTCAGTGCCAGGGTCACATGTGACTGATACCCCTGGAGGTATACATCATCACTGCTCTGTTTCCCAGCCACCCATTAAAAAGTTCTGTGACAGCGTGTGCCATGTTGTAGCATAATTCCTTGTGTACACATTTGTCTCCCCAACAAGGACTAAGAAATCCCTGAGGATCTCTCCTGCTTATTGTTGAATGCACAGACCTATACAGTGCCCCCACACACAAATCCTTTAAATGAGAACAGCCAATGCAAATGTATGTTTCAAAAACACATATTTGTGAATGGCATATTCACAAATAAGGTTGCATAGGTAAAGTCAGCCCAGCCTCCATATCCACAGGTTTCACATCTGTGGACTCAACCAACCGTGGATCAAAAGGCCTACGACAGTTGCGTCTGTACAGAACATGTACAGACATTTTTCCTTGTCATTATTCCCTAAACAATGCAGTACAACAACAATTTGTATAGCATTTACATTGTATTAGGTATTATAAGTAATCTAGAGATGATTTAAACTATATAGGAGGATGTGTGGATTATACGCAAATACTACGCCATTTTATATGAGGGACTTGAGAAGGAGCAGATTTGGGTATCCCCGGGGGTCCTGGAACCAATCCCCCGTGGTTACTGAGTGACGACTGTAACTGGGAATAGGAAATGACAGTGAGATGTTCACAGACTTACCACTGCAAATGGGGTTTAACATAAAAAATGTTTGCCTCCTCAGAGTATATACTGGTTGGCTAGATAGTAGAGAGAGGTAATTATAAAAATGAGAACTATTAACATAAGTAAAAAGAAGCATTTTAAAAACTATAGTAGTTTTATCAGATCATTTCTATGCTTGCCTAAAATCTGACATCTTTATAAAATAACAGGTTGCTGAAAGTGATAACACAATTATAAAAGCATATTTTCTAAATTTAATGCTGGTATCCATGAATGTAGTGATGTAACTGAAGTAACAGGAAACACACACACAGAGGCATTCTTCTGCATGGCTTCAGGGATGTACACTCACACGCACACTTCTATACCCATGTTAATGCTACCTACTTGATTTACAAGTTCAGGGATGCCCAGAGCTCTGTCAATTTCTTCCAGGCCCGTGGCATCCGTGTTGCTCAGGAGAGTGTGCAGCTGGTCCAGCAATGCTCTTTCATCACTCTGGCCTTCTAGGTTAGAAGGTGGCCCAAGGAGATCATCTAGGGAACTCCTAAGAAGTGGCCTAAAAAGAGACTTGCAATCAATCTCAATGATGCTTTTCCTCTTGGGAAAAAAAAGTCACAGTAACCATGCACAATATTTTTAATATGCCATAATAACTCGAATACTACACGTATAATAATAAACCAACTGAGCAGCAGCAGAGAAGAGCAAATGGCATCAATTTAAATTTAAGGCCCGTCATTTGAAACCCCACCAGGCCACCTGCGACTACCCTAGCTAGACCACCAAAACGTAACTGCTAGACCTGTAGGCATTTGGGGGATAACAGAGATTGGTGGGGGAGAGGGGAGTAATGACTGGGATGGAAGAGGGTGCTGTTTTCAAGACCCTACAAGAATAGAGGTGGTAGTAGTTGCAGAAATCAACAAAAGAACAGAAAAAGGGATAGAAATGTTGAACTACCAATGAACTGAGCCTGGGAACCGCCAAGTAACTTTTTGTTATACTTGGCCCACAGAGCTCATGTACTGACAAGTATAATACAACTCCACATACCCACAGCAAGGTGCCACAGTTCTCCAACACATTAAAGGGGCATGGAGCTAGACATCTATCCTGCCTCAGAAAAATTCTGTGATGAAACTATTTGTTCTCTACTGGGTAGAGAAGTACCCAGTTAATAAACTCACGTAGTTACATCACTGTCTACTCAACAAATCAGTTCATTTTTTCTTTGCTAATTTATTGTAGAATTCAAGTTAGAATTAACATTGACAGATGGCCTCTTTCAGGCAAGTGAGTTACTGACCAAGATAAATAAAAATGAAATACAGACATAATCCACAATCTTTCTTTCACAAAAATAAAGGGCTATAGTTCACTTTCATCATCATGCCTGAAATGTTTTAAAGAATTTTAGAAAAGAATTATCCAATCCTTAAAAATGAATTCTCCAGAAAAAGCCTAAACTGAGGTTTACTGTCTGAATGTCATTTATCTTGTCAAACTGGTGCTAATTTATCCCCCTACTCATGGAGGAGGATTAGTACATTACGAGAGACAACAACCGCCTCACAGAAGAGTCTCAAGTTTGACCACAACGGTCTTGAGCACTGAACAACACAGTTCTGTCTCCTCCCTTTCCCGTGAATGCCACTGCTTGCTGCCTCAGCCTCGCTTTACACACAATTATCTGAGAAGAGCCTGGATGACAACAAAGTACTTCAATTACAGAGTTTTTCTCATTCTCTTTCAGAAAGAGAATTTGTTCCTGTGCTGTGACCCTTTTCTAGATTATCCGATGCTAACATTTTCTACAGAGTCATATAATAAAGCCCCACCTATTTTGTGTCCCATGAGGACCTTGTTCCACAGACAACATGCCATCTGGCCAGGAACCTGGCTGGGTAGACGGTGCTGCTTGGCCATAAGGACTGATCCCCATTCCCATGGGAATCTCACCAGGCCCTGAGAGATCAAAAAGAAAAGAATAAATTTTCAAGTAAGGCAATAGCAAAAATTACTCTAAAACATCTCATTTTCTTTTTTTATGAAGGGGATGCTTACGCATTTGAAGCATCTGCTGCTGCTGTTGCTGCTGCTGTGGCTGCAACATTGGTCTCGCACCTGGGATGCTATTGGAACGAAGAGGCAAGGTGGGCATTGCGGCACCCACTGCAGCTCTGGGTAAAGAAGCATTATAATCTGCTCCCGGTCTTCCCATGGAATTTGAACTCATAGGTTCCATCCTGCTGGCCTTTGAGTTTGGTAAGCCCCATTCTCCTGAAGAAGGAGTCTGATTCACAGTCACATTTCTGTTTGGTCCACCTAAAACAGGTAGAAATGATAGTGTCTTTTCCATATTATAATGAAATCCTTCTTACATAGGTACAGTCATTATAAACAGCATTGGCCTTCACAAAAAAATGCTTTGCCATCCTAATAGGGCTAGCCAACTATGAAGACATTTTGGTAGGCCACTATTGCCATGTGTTCATTACAGGGTAGAAAATGTCTTAGACCAAAAGCTTCCTTAAGAGTTTAAATAACTAAGACATGGAATAAATGGAGGATACTCATGAAAGAAACATTATGCTACTGTTATTCAAAACTCTATTACTTAATCCCAGTTACTTAAATGGCTTTATGTATTTTAAATTTACTTTTCCCAAAAGAAATTTTTAATCATAAATACTAACTAGAAATAACATACCCATATTTGAGCCATAACTTTCCTGACTATCCATCATTCTTGGATTCCCACTCAACATGGGTTGCTTTGGTAACATGGGGAAAGCACTGATATTCTTTACTGGAGGACTTGAGCCAACGGAAACAGGGCTATCTAGAGACACTGCTCGGTTATATGGAGGACGAATGGACTGCACCAACTGTGGACTCCTCAAACCTGCTGGAAACATAGAAGCACAATATATAAATATCCTCTGATGATTCAATACATAAATAATCAAGTACAAGACACAAATGCTAATACTATCCACCCAAGAATGTCTTTCTTAATAAAACAAACACTGTCTTGCTTTACAAAATAAACACTAAGCACTAACAAAAAAAGCCTCATATTCCAAATAAAGTAGAAACAAGAGTCTCAGTGTTGGCTGAAGTATTGGGTACTGTTCTGTAGCCTGATATGGTCATTCATATTCTGTTTCACTTAATATTGAAAATTTACCAGTGTTTCAAATTCCTGGAGGTTCTTCCATATGCATACTTATTAAGTGGCTTGTCTGTTTTTAGAGAAATTTCACAATTAAATGTAACCAGGTAAGCTGCCTTCTAATCAAACAAGGAATGAAAGATAAAATTTCCTCCTAACCTTTTTCTTTTTCCAGTCTACTCAACTGATCTGACTATCCATTTCAGTTTAGAAAATATTGTCAATGAAAATGAATAACCACCATTTCAGATAATTGTGAATTATTCTTTTTCAATTGATACATACAATATATCATTGTTAATGAATGAGGAAACATATAGCTATAGGAGAGAGGTTAGGTAAGAACCAGCAAACACCAAAGAAGAAAACTCTCATAGCTAAATGACAAGATTCCGTAAGTGTCACAGGACAGGTTTTGATCTACAGTTTTAGCGCTTTTTTATCCAATTCTCTTTGCCTAAGAAAAATATATGCCCTAATACCTACTACTCATCTGGAGCAACCAAAGATGAACATTTTCCTGTAGGTCCCATGATTATTGGCATCATATTAGTTAGAAATGGGAAATTTTAAAAAAACAGGAAAATGTCCAAAAAACTTTTTAAAACACATACATTATAAATTAGCAGAAGAAACTGAGAGGCAGAGTATGTGTTTTGAAGTTATAAATGCTAGTTAGATCCTAGTCTCAGTGTAAGAGTACATACAAGTATGCAGAAAAGTTTAAAAGGCAGCAAGAATAAAACCTCGTTCTTTCTTACCCAGAGAATTAGTTCCTTGAAACATCTGTTGCTTGGTTCCCAGATTACTACCATTTGTGGATATGGAATTATTGTAAAAGTCAGAACTAGCCAGATCACCAAGAATAGCATCTAAATTATCCAAGTCTCCAGATCCCTGAAAATAAAATTTTAAAAATTAACCTGTGTATATTCCTAGATACATAGGTATAAACATATTCATCAGAATAAAACCGATGAAACTGGAACAAGTAAAACACACTAGTTACCTGAAATGATAATGTCCAACTTGAAGGCTGGCTTATTATGACACCTGTCCCTAATCTTCCTTGAAAGTAAGAACAGTTTAAACTACTGAGATAAATCCTTGAGTGTGGAGGTGCTTTCAAAACGGCATTTTTTAATTTACACTAGAAGTTTAACTCTCAAACTGTAGGATATTTTCCAGCTAACATTAGTCAGGATTATTAGCTGACAGAGATGTCTGCCTAGATGTCTGCACATATCTTCTGAAAACAAGTATGATTAATAATAAAAGCAGTAAGCTGATGTTCAACAAGATATTCATAGGCATGCTTTAAAAAGAGATTTTGGTCAATAAATTTGGAGAACACTAGGTTAAACAAAGTTAAACAGACAACTTAACAGTAAGACTTCTTCAAGACACTAATTTTTTCAGGTGCATATTAACGTTTCCCAGAATAGTGTTCCTCAAGTGGAGTTTGGGAAATGCTTATACAGAACACAATCGTGTACATGGAAAGTGGATTTCAGGTAAAAAATGAAAATTTTGTTGCTTAATACAAAAGTGTTTTTTCCCTCTTTCTTTCCACCATGCCCTTAATAACCCAATCTGCTCATTCCAATAATAAACACCTCCACGGAAAATTTCAAATTGGCTTCTAATGAGTTATAGTCACATTTTAAAACACATACATCTGATATTTCTAAATTGCATCATAATACACTTTACTGATGCCCAAAAGAATTACAAAGAAATCATAGCTCAAGACTAACTGCCATTAAATAAACCTAAAATAGAAGAATTGTGTATTAACACATTGTCTTTCTAACACAGAAATGCAATGATGAAGCACAATGACTAAGCTGGAATATATAGCAAACAAATTACCTCTTCATTTGTTTCTGTCTTAATTTTAGAGTCTTTCTCTTGACTTGAGCTAGGAACGGTGGAGCTGCTGCACTGACTCATCTTACTGTCCACTCCTTCCACTTTGGGCTGTAGCTCTTTAGAGAGTGTATCGCTAGGATCGTCCCTGTCCAGCAGATATCTAAGCAGTGCATTATTTTCCTTCTTCTTAGGACTTAGTTGCTCCTGCTTGACATTTCCTTCCACACAAGATGTTGTACTACTGGTGTCTTTCCCAGTGGCTTCTGCAGTAATCTTGGCAACCTCAGCTGGTGAATTCCCATTTTGCAGCAACTTGTGCAAAATCCGGTGCTTCTCCTGTAGCAGTGACCCATGCAGACTGGATGTGGAGGACACTCCTCCAGATGTTGAAGAGGAGACCCCGGAGGGGCTGGTGACACTAACAGAAGCGTCTTTACAACTTGAATCCAGGGGGGAGTTGGTCAAGGAGGAATGGCCCCGGTCATCAGAAGAACAGGTAAGTAACTGCAGTAATTTTTTATGACCTTTGCTTTCTAGAGGACCCCTTTGATTCTCTGACCCTTCCACACTGCTCTCTTTACTTTCTTTGTCATTGAGGTGATCTCTGCTATTTGACTGACACATTGAACTCTCCACTGGATTCTGGTCACAATATAAGCCTAGGGGACTCTTGGAATCCTGACTGTTCACTTTACTTGGTTGGGTTATACTCATATTGGGCGAGTTATCTAATTTGGGGCCTGGTGAAGACAGAGTAGATAAAAGAGAAGTCCCCACGCCCTCACTGATAGCTTGAAGAGCACTGAGAGAGCTGCTAGAAAAGCTGTGGCTCCCGGTATTGCCAGAAGATCCCATGGGAGAGTGTACACCTGGATTTGGAGAAAAATTCAGAAAAGAATTAGACTATCAGATGCTATAACAAAACAGCACTTAGCTCTTCAAAGTTTCTGTTATAAAATGAATTAACTTTACAAGAATTACAGTGGTATGGAGAAGAATTACTGAAAAAGGAAAAACAAAGATAAGGAAATGCCAACACAAATACCTGCAACAGGAGAAAACTGATGTGAAGTCATCTTTGGACTCCCGCGATTACGAGGAGAAATCATGATATTCTGCTGGTTGGAGACAAGGCCAGGACTCCCATGTGGGGGGCTACTCATGTTGAGACCATAGTTGTTGTTCTGGTAGGAAGATGGTGACTGCATGCCTGGCCCGGGGTTCACTGAAGCTATGCTACTGGAAGCCCCATACCTAGCTCCACTCAACTGTCCTGTGGTGCTGGGTTCAGCCAAGCCATAGGTCCTGCTGCTCAGCATCTGTAAGCCTTGGTTTGGCGACATGCTCATGCCGCCTACCGAACTATTGCATCCAGCTGCTGGAGGTCTAATGCCTTGTCCAACAGGATTTGGGTTTGGTCTATACCCGTTCTGCTCCCTGTAAAGAAACAGAACACCAAACTTTTACTAAAAACTTACAGGCATGCATTGAAGCCCCGAATCAGATTTTTCAAAAAAGATTAAGTGCGTGCCCAGGAACTTAACTTCTTAGGCACCATTCCAATACCTAGTGACAATAACAATCTAGATATTGATCATTTGTTAACCTAACAACATACTTTTTAACAAGCCACAGAATCAATGAGTGATACCACCACAGCACTGTGAAGGGCCAAAAGCCACATTAACTGCAATCTCAGCAGGGCTTTACAGGAGTTGCTATATATCTAGAGGTTAACCTGGAGGTGCTTGTAAATTACTCCAGATAATTAACAGATGAATATTCTGCTCCTTTATGTGTTTCTCATTTACCATTAGCAACAACAAGAGCAACTATCCTTTATTCCTAAAGTCTACCTTCAAATTTTAAATCAATGTAATGTTATGTATCATTAGAAATTAAAAGGTAACAGAAGTAGTCAGATTTTATACGCTCTTTAACCCACTACTAGCCTTCTCATCCCCCAGCTTTCCTAGAATTATTTAATGAACAAATCCTCATTTTCACATAAAAATATAACCTTAAAATATATAATCCAGGAATCTAAACTCACTTCAGCAAATCCAACAATGTTCCTGCTTTTTCTCTTGTTAAAATTTCTCCCTTTTTACATTAATAAGGAAGCATTTTGAGAAAACTGCTGCATTTAATATGAGAATACAGTACCTCTGAAGAAAGTGGGTTGAGACAAAACCATGACGGTCATTTGTTACGGGATTTCGGAAGAGTTTGCTTTTTGTTTGTGCAGTCACTATAGTTCCATCAGCCAAAGAGAATCGATACACTGGGGTTTCAGCATGACCATGGATATAAGCTGTTGGGGAAAATATCCCATGATTAGTAACTACAATTGGCAAAACAAATACATATAGGAGAGGAGAGAAAGGAAACACTCTTCAAGTCCAGCATTTTCAAAATCCAGTGAAAAACTGGGCCGACACCAAAGTATGAACAGGCTAACCTACGAATGTTCAAGAATCATTTTCCTACCCCACACGCACAAAAACAACAACAGCAGTCATGTATATACTTAGCGCTTTATAGCATTCCAAACAAAATGACAAACAAGATCAAGAATCAACCTCGAAATTCTTTACCTTCTTGATAGTGACGTTTCTGGGACCATGACTGCCCATCATTAAGACTAAAAAATCTCTGGATACATCTTCGGATTATATCTTCAAAGCCGGGCCTCATGGAGGATCTCAGTGAATTTGTATCTATAGTGACAACTTTTCCTATTAAACAGAAAATAAAGATTGAAATCCGACCCAGAAGTATTTACTGGTTGCATACTGCATGGCTTAGCAATGAAGAATAAAATAAAGACACTAAATCTCTATTCCACTTTCTCTGGCACAAATTTCTGCTATATCCAGAGCTGTTCTTCTTAAGGACACAGTCCTGCAGGATACTCTCACATTAAATGTTCTGCTATATAGACTTAAGAGTGTTATCACACAACTCCTTTTACTTTTTGCATGTTCAGAATATAATGCATCAAGATAACCTTAGGTTCATTTTCATTTAAAAGAAAAAAATAACATCTACCAGTAAAATTGTTCATCTGAAGAGATTATTCTGTCCCTGCAACTATGAAGCAAGAGAAAATACCTACCTAAACAGCTAGCAAGGACAATTCTTTCTGTCTGAGAGGTGAGTGCATTTTTGGACACTTAAAATCTAAACTAGGAAGGTTAACCCAAGTATGTGGAATACTGATTTCCACAAGTATGGAAGTTTCTGACAACTTTTGCTTTAACAACAAATATACCAGAGAGATGAAATATATACAAAAATGTTATGAAATTAAAGGTTTCATGAAGATAGTCCTTAAAAAATGACTAAGCCTTTTCACTTTCTAAGCAGCAACAGGGCAGTTAGCAAAAACAAACACCTTACAAAAAGTGGGAAAAAGAGAACCAAGAAGAAAGTGGTTGATGCGTTTTTAAAGAAAGGCTGGTCTGTCGTGAGAGCACCAGCTGTGTCCAGTATAAGAAATACTGGGAAACACTAGTCACAAGGACTCAAGGAACTAAAATCGCCTCTGATGGTCTCAGGTGTTATGCTTTTAAAATGAGACTTGCTGATCTGCAGAATGCTGAAGTTGCATTTAGAAAATTCAAAATAATTAGTGATGATGTCCAGGGCAGAAACCATGTGATCAACATCCATGACATGGATTTTTGTGACAAAATATGCTCCATGGTCAAACATGTCAGACTATGATTGAAGCTCATGTTGATGTCAAGACTACCAATAGTTGTTTTTGTCTGTTCTGCATAGGTTTTACTGAAAAATGCAATACTCAGATCCAAATGAGTTCTTATACTTAGCACCAACAGGTCCACCAAATCCAGAAGTTAATGGAAATCATGATCCAAGAGGTATAGACAAATGACTTTAAAGAAGTGGTCAATAATTTGATTCCAGACAGATTGGGAAAAATACAGAAAAAGCTTGTTAATCTATTTATCCTCTCTATGATGTGTTTGTGAGAAAAGTAATAATGCCGAAGAAAATCAAGTTTGGACTGGGAAAACTCATGGAACTTCATGGTGCAAGACAGTTCTGGAAAAACTACTGGGGATGAGAAAGATACTAATGTTGGAGAGCTGATGGATATGAGCCACCACTCCAAGAATCTATCTAAAACTCAGATCTTAAAGGCTAACAAATAAAAAAATCTTATTAGTTGGGGGGGGGGGGGAACAGGACTAGGGAGAAGGAACAAATGCATTCCAGGAAAAAGTAAACACGTTGTACACTGTGTCCAAAATAAGAATGATCTGCCCTCAACCACCTCCCCTTGGCTTAGCTCTGAGAGCCACACAACAAACACAAAATAGATGCTCAGAAGAAGTGTATTAAATAAAACACATCAGGGACAGAGGATAAAATCTCTCCAGAGGCCAACAACAGTCTTACATTGAGTGCAACAACCCTCCTATGAAAGAATGGACAGCAACTAGAAGATACCAACCACAACTGCCATAACATGGCTCTCAGATGTTAACCAGACAAAAGTATTTAATCCTTTTTCTTGGTAATTTCTAACCCTTATAATAAATATGTTCTGCTTTTGTAATAAGGGAAAATATTGGTGAGATTATTTTTAAAGGTTCCACTTGCTAAACTGCTTAGGTAAAGTTGTTTTATTTAGTATTTTCAGTTACCAAATGTAAAGTATTGTTATTTAGGGAGAAAACTTAGACTGCCAAATCATAACAAATGCTGAGAAAGAACCACTCTAAAAAGATAACACATAAAAATTCCTGTCACCAGGTGTGACTATCTCAAGGTGAATAAATAAAGGGAAGATTTTCCAATATAAAGCAATAATCATCAGCGTAAACAGATTGTCAATTCATAATACAAAGAACTTTTTTTGATACTTTTTCATCTGTGAAAATTAATCTCAAGCAGCCTCAAGACAAGTAACTGAGCCTGGCATAAAATGGCTGATGAATGTGAAAAGAGCTATCTTTTACAGTAGAATATTGTTATTCATGTATGTGTATACAATATATATACATGTGTATATAAATACACATACATGCACAAACACATACATAAAATGCCTATAGCTATGCTATGTGTCTGTTTAAACATACTCCATTTTATCAAATTACTTATTGAGGGTTCACGTGGTGGACACAAACAGTCCAGGCTTTGACGTCAGGCAGATCCAGCTGCAAATTCTCTTCTCATCAGCCATGATCTTGGACAAGTAACCAACCTCTCTGTCACCGGGCCACTGTTTCCTCACCTCTGAGATGGAGGGTTATGTGACAAACCCTTGGCATCACCATTCAGGGTCAGATGACCAGAAGAGTGACCCTGAAGATGACTATACATAATATTGCCATTACATTTAATTTCATCATTGTGCCTTATCAACTATACTGGCTTGAATTCTTTACTCCCAGGGTCAAAAAAGGGCAGACCAGGAGGTAGCCCAGTGGCGTAGTGGTTAAGCTCGCACACTCCACTTTGGCGGCCTTGGGGTTCACTGGTTCAGATCCCAGGCTCGGACCTGCCCACCGCTCATCAAGCCATGCTCTGCCAGCATCCCATATAAAGTAGAGGAAGATGGGCACAGATGTTAGCTCAGGGCCAATTTTCCCAACCAAAAAAAAAAAAAGCAGACCATGACCGAAACTCATGTTGATGTCAAGAATTAGTTTCAGTAATTCTCATTAAATTACATGTATTTTTGAAAACATGTTTCTTTATGAAAAATGGGTTTGAAGTTAAAGAAAAGAAATACTAACTTCTGATTCGAAATGCCATTTGTAGAGAAAGTCAGGTGCCTCTACTTTTATTTTTTAATTTATTTGAGGGATTTAAGTGTCCATCCAACATACCCAACTCAAATGCCAAAGGTTTTAGGGCATCACTGTTAGGGTTGTATAAGAGACATAGGAAATAATCCAGGCAAAGCATGCCTTACAGTGGGTGTACGCACTTAAATGATAGTGCAGGCTGTAGAAATAGTTAACTTTTATAAAAATTTTCAAAATGAACAAAATGTATACAAACATATACACATAGTTTTTACCTGAAAGATCATGTCTAGTAATAAAGCTTTCAGGGTTTGATGGAAATGCTCTTTCTCCTGTAGTAATGCGCCGTGCCACACAGATCATACAGGATTGCAAATCTACAATAAAACGTTGAACCAGGTAAGGATTATAATCAACCTTTGGATATGTCTGTTCAGTAGGTGAGTTAGGACATGACATTCAGTAAGAAGAATTACAACAATGGAAATTACACAACTACAAATTTGGCTGCTATTTGATTGATAAATATCACATAAACATGGGATCCCTCTTACCTTCCCCCTCCTCCATCATAGCTCGTGGCTGAGACAGGGCAAAGCACTGCATTGTTTCATATCTCTGGCGCATTTCAGGACTAGTGTTTATGTCTTCCAGAATATCATGTGGTGTTTTCATCAACATACGGCAATTAAATGTGTGGCTTTTTTGTCTCTGGGTCTCATTTGTCCAGGCAACTCCATTAACTTTGGAAAACAAATTGAAAGGAGTTTTTAAAAAGCTAGCAAGTCAGTCTATGACTATCATTAAGAATTTAAGTTATCTTTTCTCATTATACATGTTCTCCACAGTAATTTCTATACTAACATTTCAAAGTGGCAATATATAAAACACTGGAATAATTTCAATTTCAACGGAAATCTCACTGTATATTTTGTAACTCACTGTACATTTTAGCCCCATGAAATGTATACCAAATTCTAAATTCACTGAAGTCGTATTTGAAAATTTTGCTATTAATCACTTGCTTTTCTACACAAGTTTGATCACTAGGCTTCCTAAAAGGTACATTCAATTTTCAAAGAAATGGTCAAGAAAAAAAATTACCTTATTTAGAAAATACACATTAAAAGCCTACCTGTAGATTTCGGTAAGTTCTTAAGAAAATCCTTCCTGTCGTCTTCGTGCAAAATATTATAGACACTTGTGTTGACCAGGTCCTCTTGCTTATACTGCAGGTATTGTGTGACATTTTCTGACACAAATACAATGTTTCCATCACGATTCACCACAAACAGGAAACCATCCAATGCCTGAAGTGGGAAATGTTAATATTGGCCATGAGGGACTGAACTGTATCCCCTCCCCACCCGCTGCCGAGATTCATACATTGCAGCCCTAACCCTCAATGTGACTATATTTGGAGATAGGGCCTTTCAGGAGGTGATTAAGGTTGAATGAGGTCACTAGGGTAGGGCTGTAACCCGAGAGGACTGGTGTTCCTATGAGAGGAGAGGGGACACCAGGAATGCACACACACAGAGAAAAGACCATGTGAAGAGACAAGGAGAAGGCAGCATCTACAGACCAAGGAGCGAGGTCTCAGGAGAAACCAAGCCTGCCGACACCTTGATCTTGGACCTCCAGCCTCCAGACACGTGAGAAATAAATTTCTGTTGGTTAAGCCACCCAGTCGGTGGTACTTTGTTATAGCAGCCCTAGTAGACTACGACACCAGCCTTAGGACTAAGTAGAATTTGAAAAAATTACTGGCCATTTAACAATTACTGCAAACAACTATCAGCCACCACTTCTATTAATATTAGCACCATTACTACAGGGTTTTATGAAAAATAAAAAGACATTTAAAAAAAAGACAAATACAGTCAACATAAAACCTGAATTAATGTCTAATCTAATTTTTTGAAGAATTACATCTTCAAAGCTTTTAAAAATGAGAAAATTATCCTTAGTGTTGCCTATTTTTTCATTTGATACCAAGTCAAGCTACAGGAACTACATCACTCCTTAATGAGAATTTACAAAGAGGAATTGAATTGATCATAAAAAGTAGTTGGAGCAAGCTAGTCGAAACAAAAAAATTGACAAGTGAACTTTATGAAGGGCTTCAGGCCCCGCTTTAAAGTAAGAAACATTCTGTAAGTGCTATAGGTTAATCAGATTAATTTAAGACAACTACTTACTTACAAAACAAGCACATTTAAGTCTTAAAAAACCTCTCAAAAATATAAAACTGTAGTGCACCATATAATCAATCATGCAAAAATGCTCAAAAAAGTCTGAGCTAAAATATGCCCAAATATTACCTTTGTGAAATTATGGGTTATCTTTCCTCTCTTGCCTCTTTGTATTTTTTTTGTTTGCTTTCTCAGTTTGCAACTATATTTTTATAAGGTGGGCAGGGGGGCGCACCGGGCCTCCTGAGTTATGCATATTGTAAATATAAAAGTATTTCATCCCCATATTCAGAATACTAAGTTCTGTCTCATAAAAAGAAACATTTTACTTTTGCTCTCATTTCCTAACCAAAATGTCATCATTTTTTTTTAAATCAACACAGCTTACTAGATAGCTAAAACCTTATCCTTGCCTGAAGTAAAAGTGGTCCCAAGGAGTCTTTATCAATAACTCCTTGTCCTGTAGAAGACACATCAGCTTTCTGAACATCATCATCACTGGAAATAGCTTTTCCTGAAAAGACAGAAGGCAGTACTACAAATAGCACATATATCAGTTAAATCCACCTTCAAATAGTCCCCAGAACAGACACAAAGAGACGCATGCGCGCGCACACACAGGTGCATATGCACATATACGACATTTCCTGATAAGAAGATGATGCTACAATTTTTAAATGTTAAAATTAAACTTCAGAGTTACCCAGGAGAGCAGAAGATACTCTAAATTCTCTTTTACTACTAAATGTACCATCCCATGGCTTCCTGAAACGGAACAAACATGTGACAGAGTGAGCAACCATGGCCTTCTTCCAACTATTAACTATTTCCTAAAGAGCAAAGCTGGTCAACTCATTTGTCCATGCCCACACAGGCTAGCCTCAATCAGTAGTAGTTCCCTAGCTAAGCAATGAAGTAGCAAAAAGGTAAATATAACTGAGTTAACAAGTTCCTGCTAAAAAACTGAGTGTTCTTCTTACTTTGTATTACCTTGCTCTTTTATTTGTCGTATCTGTCTTACTGTTTCCTTTAAAATTGCACATTTATCTGGTTTGACATTGAAATTGTCGATATCACTAAGATTAGCAGATATCAGTTCAGCCAATTCTTCAATATATTTACTCTCCTGCTCTCGTCTCCACTTTTCACCACTGCAGGTAAGACTGAGTAGGGGAAAAAAAAAAAAAAAAGCCATAAATATACCTATCACAAAAGCTGTGAGCAAAATCAGTCCCTATACAACACCATTTCCTTCATATGTAAACAAACAAAATTCAGCCAGTAGAAACTATCAACCATTGTCTTGGAGATGTATGTAGTACAATATAGTAGAAATTCATGCAAATCTAAATTTAAGTCCACCTTTTTGTTAGCAGAGTGGCCTTGGGCAGAGTTAGTCTCAGTTTTATCATCTGGAAAATGGCAATAAATATAAATAGTCTTTACCTCATGGAGACAGTAAAACAACTAACAAATAATAACAAAAAAGTGGTAGCTACTTATTAATGACGAGGTTTTATCAATTGTAAATTTTTTTTTTATTTTGCAGCTACCACATTAACATTCAAATGATATTGACCTGGGCAAATACTAAAAAGGCTACAGAGTATCACTGCATAAAATGCAGTATTTTATTTCAATTTTTTAAACTTATAACTTCATTTAGGAAAAGAATGATGAAACCTCACAAATGGCAAAATATCAACTTATAACATGTTCTTAAAGGATATGAAAGATTCTTACTTGTAATAATCTTGGTTATCTATTCCTAACTCTTATCTCTTCCATTGAGACATGCTTCTTACAGTATCACAGACTGTTAGTATATTCTTGGTTCTATCTGAATCGGTAATAAAGCTTCTATTACATCATAAGGATGTCCATCTCATCACTGTACCACTCTACTTACAACAAAGCAAAATCATATTATTTAAGCAAAGACAAAAACAAAAAAATCTAACCAGAGAATGTAAATAACAGAAAGTTGAAATGTTATCTTAAACCAAAAAAATTAAGGTAGGAGGAGGGAGACCTTGGTGAAGCATCAGGAAATAAATTCCTACCTTTGTCCTGGGGTATCACACGGCAGTTTTCGTTTTCGTGAATCAGGGGCCAGTGGATCCAAGGAGTTTTCTCCTAATCCACTCATCATGAATATACATCAGCAACTAAGACAGAATAAGATAAAAACATTATAAAATATTCGTTACTCTATAAAGGTGTCATACGCTTGAATGACCTGCATCTTGTAATTCAGACTACTTTCCCTAAATGATTAGATAATTCTCAATATTTTTAACCACAAATGACTATTTTGAAGACAACCTCAGTTTAATTATGCAGAATGTCCAACCCCAAGAGAGAAATGTTTCTCAAGTCCTACTAAAAACGTGTACATTGCATATCTTACAAAGATTAAGGCATCTTCTTCATGTTTAATAATAAGAAAAGAGATCACCAACTCTCCGACTGATAAAATCCTAAATTTTATTTATATCCAAGTCAGCACAAATAAGAGCTTACCTTGTCATTTGGTAAATGATAAAGGCTAAATTATTTTCAGGCTATTTTCAAGGTAGCACATTTTTTCCTGTAGACCATTCAATTAATATTTATCATACAATGTGTTTTTCCTCTGTTACTTCAAAATAAACCTAGATTGTGTAAATAACATGGAAACTCCAATATATTCTGCTTAGAAAGTAGAGGTACAACACTAAGACTCCAGGGGAAAAGGGAGATTTTGACAAGATTCCCATAGCAACAATTATTTTAATATTAACTGATGGAAATATAATATGCTTTGGTTAAAGTTCCATAGATAAAGAAAATAAATGTAGGGTATTTTTTCTTGGGTAAAAAGCAGATTTATAACACTCAGTAGCTCATAATTTTAAGACATCTACTAAGCCTTCACTTACTAAGACTTTTATTTGTTCTGAATTCTTGTTTCAGAAGACGATCATTGCTCTAAATAATTCCAAGTCAACCAAGAAATTCAAATATTCCAAACTATTGTTTCTTAATACGTTAAAATGCATTTTGCATTCCATCTAGATTCTGAGACGTGTATTGAAGGACATAAATTTCCACTAGGTGGCACAATACTACCAGGAAGAGAGAGAAATTAATAAAACTGCAAAATTTCACACTAGATTCTGACCAAACTTAAAATATGTAGCTTTTAAAAAACCAAAATCACATGACCATTAATCAGGAGTTCTAGATTTTGACACTGTCAAATTAAATACCAACAAAATTCACTCTACCTATAATTTTGGTAGTAAAATGTAAAGGCTGAAAAGCTGAGATGTTTTAAAGACTTGGTGTTTTGTTTTGTTTTGTTTCTCACAACGTAAGTTAAAATGAAAGAGAAAAAACCACTGTGATTAATAGTGGTTCAATATTATGATTTTAAAGCATACTCAGATCCCACAATGCCAGGAATACCGTATTCTTCAAAAATGGCAATTCCATAAAAGACAAAGTCTGTAAATATTCCACATTAAAGGAAGCTGAAGAGAAATGACAATTAAATGCAATATCTGATCCTATACTAGAGGGGGGAAATGCTATGAAGAACATTATTGGATCAACTGACAAAACTAAAATATGGACAACAGACAGAAGTATTTTATCAAAATATGGACAACAGATAGAAGTGTTTTATCAATGTTAAATTTACCAAAGTTGATTTCTGTACTGTGGTTATTTAAAGAGATTATCCCTATTCCTAGAATTTAGGGCAAAAGGGCCATTATGTATGCAAATGACCCTTCTACGGGAGGAGGGGAATTGTAGATATTATAAGTAGGTGAGTGAGAAATGAACAAGAGGAAGGAAGGAGAGAGAGGGGAAGAAGGAAGGGTGGCAAAATGTTGACACTGGGTGAATGTTGGCGGGGGAGAAATTTTTAAATTCTTTGTACTAGTCTTTTTCTTGTGACTTTGTTTTAAGTTTAAAATTATTTCCAAATAAAAAGTTGTAAAAGTATGTTTGGTTTTAATTTCCAATTTTCATATTTAAAAATAAAAAAAGGGCCGGCCCCGTGGCTTAGTGGTTAAGTGCTCGCGCTCTGCTGCTGGTCGCCCAGGTTCAGATCCCGGGCGCGCACCGACGCACCACTTCTCCGGCCATGCTGAGGCCACGTCCCACATACAGCAACTAGAAGGATGTGCAGCTATGACATACAACTATCTACTGGGCAAAAGATAGTTGGGGGAAAAAAATAAATTAATAAAATTATTAAAAAAAAAAAAGAGAGAAAGAAAAAGTGATTCCTTAAGTATAGAAGTAGAATAATTTTAGCTACATCTCAATACAACAGGTTTTATATTTGTTTCATTCACAGGTTTTTAAATTGAGTGGCAAACTATCCAGTGAGTAGTAACATTTCTTTATTTCAAAAATATAATTTATTCCACATTCTAGATATTATTTCCTTACTTTGATGTTAAACACTAGCTGAATTCCCAAAATTGAATGGCAAACTATTTAATAAATAATAGCATTTCTCGAACTTGAAAGACATTATTCTATATTCTCAGTATTATCTTCTTACTTTGCTATTAAATATAAGCTGAATCTCCAGTACAGTTTAAGGTACCCAGCATATAACAGGAGGTCAATAACTATGTCTTGAATATAAATTGAATAAATAAAGGGAACAATCAACTTGAGTCATATTTTAGAACTTCCTTCATTCTGATGATCTATATAAAACTTCAAAGTCTACTTTAAACTTTTTAAATTTTTACTTCTATGGTTGATACAGGATGTCACCAAAATGAATTTTAGAGGCATAACTTACATCAATAGAGCATCAAAACCATGACAATCTCTTAGTATGAAAGAAATCAATAATCACAATTATCAGTCTAAACCAGAAATGTATACATGTCATTCATGTTAAAACAATGTTTATGTGCATATAGAGAAACTTAAATATGTCTACTTATGTCCATATACACATGTGGCTCTTTCTCTTAATCTGGCAGAACAAGCTATAATGTGCATATGACTGTGCAATCTACGTTCTACCAAATCTACTTTTTCACAGAGTCCAGTGATCTCTAGTAATAGAGGTAATTATCCAGAAATGTACTAATACAAAATCCTAATTTAAAACCATAGTAATGGGGTGCTTATCTAACATGAAGGTATAATTAAGATATAAAATATTTCTCATTTCATTTTCTTAGGAACAGGTTTGACAGGTTTCTTTTCTAGTTCTTACTTACATATGGACAAAACTTGGTACCACATTTACTGTACAATACCTAAAAGACCACATGATGTCCAAGGGTGAACGACAAAATACCATACAACAAAAATCAAAGTAGAGCAAATACATGTCCTAAATTTCATTAGGCTAAAGAAAATGTCCAACATGAGAAAAAATATAACTATTTCTGCCCCCAAAAAATAGTTTCAGCATATATAATAACTAATAATAATTCCTAAGCACAAATGACTATGACAAACACTTTATGGACAGTTTTCTATTTATTTGGTATTAATCTTAGCTATAAACATAAAAAATAATAAATAGCATTTGTTTTACTTGCCAGGTCTGTTGTCTGCTTCTCACTGGCAGAGACGAACTGAAAACTATACATATCTGGGAGGATATGTTATCTGGCTGGGGAAATTACTCTAAGGTATGAAAGGTAAATGCCTAGCATATACTCACTAAATCTGTTTAGACCATTTTCATCAGTAGTCAAGAATTAGGGTGGGAGAGGGGAATGGAGCATGTACCAGGCCCATGAGTAGATCATAATTTCCCCCAGAGTTCTAAAAGGTTAAGAAACACAGAGCAGTAACTGTACAGCTTACATTTTTACATCTTTTTTTTTTTTTTAGGAAGATTGGCCCTGAGCTAACATCTGTTGCCAATCTTCCTCTTTTTCTTTTTTCTCCCCAAAGCCCAGTACATAGTTGTATATCCTAGTTGTAGGTCCTTCTAGTTCTCCTATGTGGGACACCACCTCAGCATGGCTTGATGAGCGGTGAGTAGGTTCGCGCCCAGGATCCAAACCAGCGGACCCTGGGCCGCCAAAGCAGAATGCATGAACTTAACCACTATGCCACCAGGCCGGCCCCACATTTTTACATCTTAAATTATAACCCATCTAGTTTGGAGGATATATGGAGTTGGTAAAATTTATATTCAACGGGGAAATAATACAGCCCAACAGTCTCACAGTATCTTTGATTATAAGACAGTCTATTAATATTGAGCCCCTTCTAAATTCTGACTCTCTACAATCAAACATTATCATCTATAGAACTGAGTAGAAACGAAATTAGGATCACAATATATACCTGTCCCCCAAGTAATCTGTACTCTTGAAATCATGTCATAAATCCAATATAGTGAGGTACATACACATATTTTGAAGTTGCTAAGTAAGAGGTGTCCCCGAAGTGATTGTTACCCTGGAGATACATCTCAACTGCACTTCCAGGTAGAACACAATCCAATCACAGATTTTCAAATCTTTTCAAACCCCTAACACCACAGTATAGAAAAGGACTAGAGTGAAGAACTTTCATTGAATCAGAATCCAAAGACCCAAAATATATTCAATCTTTCAATGTGAACTCAACCGTCTAGATCCTTGAACCATTTTTACAATTATTTTCCTTGTCTGAAATGCTTCTACTGAAGAGTTCTATGCTATACTACTTAAGTTAATGTGACAAAATAAAAAAAAATGAATATGACAATGCACACTAAGGTAAGATTACACTTAAGCAAGATATTCTATGCAGTTACTTCAAACAGGGAAGAGCAGCAATTTAGAATAACTTGCAGTGCCATGAAAATCTCACGTCACCTATTCCTAGGTTACTTGGAAAAGTGAGAAGTAGGTCCATGATTAAATAGATTTAAAAAGAGCACGAATCTTACAGCAACTGGATAGACTCTCTCATATAAATACTATAGGCCTTTCTATACATAACAATCAAGCTATGGTACATGTTTAAGCTTACACATGCACAGAATACAATAAATTGCTAGAAAATGAACATTCCTGAAGTCTAATTCAGGTAAAAAGCAGCAACAAATGATACCTGCCAGCTCAAAAGCCATGAAAAAGTTAATATATGGCTTAGCAGCATTAACTAGCTTTCCTTTTGGTTATTTGCCATTAAGACAGGA